CCGAGGAGAGGGATCGGCGTCGGGCCCGGCGGCAGCCGCGAACTCTTACTGCCTACAAGGAAGAGTTTGTAGAGGACACAAGAGGCGAGTGAAACGTACACAAGCCATAGCATGTACGAAGCTTCCATTTTCGCTTGCTACAAGTTCACGATGCGATGGGCTGTTGGCGCAATTGATTGAACGCAGTACGACTTATATACATGGAGCAACTGCGATAGTAAAATCTATATGGTGGGTTTCTTCGATTTTTTCATCCATCCAGAAGTAGATAGTAAACCATGTAAAAAAACAGAAGTAGATTGTAATTACCCACCTTGCTAGTTATAAGAGCATCTCCAACAGCCGTGCAACACGCGGTGTGCTAAAAAGTACTTTGCAGCACGTCCATCATCTGATTTAGCGCGGCGGGCAACGCTGGCTTCAGCAGACGCGATAAAATTTAGCGCGCGTAGCTCCAGCGGCCGTGCTAAAATGCAGCGCGTGCTATCACACGGACATTGCATACATATTTAAAAAAAAATGATACATAGATATTTTACATAGTTCCATAGTATAGATAGATAAAACTACGATGCAACGACATAAAAAACGACTAGATAGTGCAACTACAAGCTACTCCCAGTCGTCCTAATCATCATCATTATCATCCTCGCTGGTCTGTTCCGGGGTATCGAGCCACATGTCCTCCCAACAATGATCATTATTCGTAAAGATCGACTGCCCACTTGCTTCAACGATATCGCACTGCGATAACGCCAGGGCCTTCCGCCGACGCCTGTTCAACCGATCCGCGCGGCGCTTTGCCGTCCTCTCTGCCCGGTAGGCTTGCTTGTTGGCGACGTCCTTCAGGTGGCGCCGGCGCTACTCCGCCATGCCTCGCTCGTCCTCCTCGACGATGAGGAGACGGCGCTGCCGCCGAGTGTGCTCCGCACGGTCCTGGTCCGTGATAAGACGAGGCGAAGGGGCGACGTCCTGCGCCTGCTGGCGCGTGTGGACGTCCTGAAAGTTTATCTGCGCGCGCGGCCTATCTAGGCGCCACGCCGCCACGTCGTACGTGCAGGCAGCCTTGTGCACAGTCTCGAAGGTGCCGAGGCCGAGCCGAACGTCGCCGGACCGAATCTCGGCGTAGTACCAGCCGTTGGGGCGCTGGCGGACGCCGCGGTAGCCTGACGCTCCTCGGCGGCGCGGCGGCATGGTGGCGCGTCGGTGGGGGGTTCTGCAGCAGCTAGAAAGCAAAGGGAGCTACGAGAAAGTGGAGAAGAGCGTGCGTGGCAATGTGGATTGGCTCGTGCATGCACGTACGCTCTTTATTTCTGTAACAACATTGGCTACATGACTTGGCTCGTGCATGCGGGCTCCTTTAACACGATCATTGTTCGAGTCCTTATTGTGCAATTTCTTCTCTTAGTCTAATATGTAACACAAACAACCAATGAAAAAAAAAAGATGACTACAAAACATTGTGTGCAATGAAACGACCTACGAGAAAATAAATGCGTGATTTTTGTGACTTATGTGGGTGGGTAATTATTATCAACTTCGGGTGCAACTAAGAGCATCTCCAACAACCGCGCCAAAATATGTGCGCGCGCGGTAAACTGATTTTTTTAGCGCGCGTGGGATGTTTTCGCGCGCTCCAGCGGTGGCGGGAAACTAGCGCGCGCGAGAAAAGACGGCAGCTTGCGCAGTACATTTGGCGCACCTATAAATTGCGGCACTTGCCACGCGGCAATCCACATTGCCACGCACGCTCTTCTCCACTTTCTCGTAGCTCCCTTTGCTTTCTAGCTGCTGCAGAACCCCCCACCGACGCGCCACCATGCCGCCGCGCCGCCGAGGAGCGTCAGGCTACCGCGGCGTCCGCCAGCGCCCCAACGGCTGGTACTACGCCGAGATTCGGTCCGGCGACGTTCGGCTCGGCCTCGGCACCTTCGAGACTGTGCACAAGGCTGCCTGCACGTACGACGTGGCGGCGTGGCGCCTAGATAGGCCGCGCGCGCAGATAAACTTTCAGGACGTCCACACGCGCCAGCAGGCGCAGGACGTCGCCCCTTCGCCTCGTCTTATCACGGACCAGGACCGTGCGGAGCACACTCGGCGGCAGCGCCGTCTCCTCATCGTCGAGGAGGACGAGCGAGGCATGGCGGAGTAGCGCCGGCGCCACCTGAAGGACGTCGCCAACAAGCAAGCCTACCGGGCAGAGAGGACGGCAAAGCGCCGCGCGGATCGGTTGAACAGGCGTCGGCGGAAGGCCCTGGCGTTATCGCAGTGCGATATCGTTGAAGCAAGTGGGCAGTCGATCTTTACGAATAATGATCATTGTTGGGAGGACATGTGGCTCGATACCCCGGAACAGACCAGCGAGGATGATAATGATGATGATTAGGACGACTGGGAGTAGCTTGTAGTTGCACTATCTAGTCGTTTTTTATGTCGTTGCATCGTAGTTTTATCTATCTATACTATGGAACTATGTAAAATATCTATGTATCATTTTTTTTTAAATATGTATGCAATGTCCGTGTGATAGCACGCGCTGCATTTTAGCACGGCCGCTGGAGCTACGCGCGCTAAATTTTATCGCGTCTGCTGAAGCCAGCGTTGCCCGCCGCGCTAAATCAGATGATGGACGTGCTGCAAAGTACTTTTTAGCACACCGCGTGTTGCACGGCTGTTGGAGATGCTCTTATAACTAGCAAGGTGGGTAATTACAATCTACTTCTGTTTTTTTACATGGTTTACTATCTACTTCTGGATGGATGAAAAAATCGAAGAAACCCACCATATAGATTTTACTATCGCAGTTGCTCCATGTATATAAGTCGTACTGCGTTCAATCAATTGCGCCAACAGCCCATCGCATCGTGAACTTGTAGCAAGCGAAAATGGAAGCTTCGTACATGCTATGGCTTGTGTACGTTTCACTCGCCTCTTGTGTCCTCTACAAACTCTTCCTTGTAGGCAGTAAGAGTTCGCGGCTGCCGCCGGGCCCGACGCCGATCCCTCTCCTCGGCAACATCTTTGACATCCAAGGCGATCTGCACCAGGCCCTTACCAGGCTCGCCGGGGTGCACGGCCCCATCATATCCATCAAGCTCGGCGCCACCACCGCCGTCGTGGCCTCGTCCGCCGCGTGCGCCCGCGACGTGCTGCAGAAGTACGACCACCTCCTGGCGGCGCGGTCCGTCGCCGACGCCGCGCGCGCGCTGGGCAACCACGAGCACTCCATCATATGGCTGCCGTCCAGCAGCCCGCTGTGGAAGCGCCTCCGCGCCGTGTGCACCAACCACCTGTTCTCGGCGCACGCCCTCGACGCGGCGCGCGCGGTGCGGGAGGAGAAGGTGAGGGGCCTGGTGGGCTGCATCCGCGGCCATGCCGGGGAGACCGTGGAGGTCGGCCGCGTCGTGCTCTCCGGGCTGTTCAACATCGTCTCCAGCGTGCTGTTTTCCGAGGAGGTGGGCGACCTGAGCTCAGACCGGGCGCAGGGTCTCGAGACGCTGACCAACGACCTCCTCATGGAGCTCATCAAGCCGAACATGTCGGACCTCTTTCCCGTGCTCTCTGTTCTTGACTTGCAGGGCCGCCGCCGCAGTACCGTCGAGCATCTGAGGAGGTTCTTTGACTTCTTTGACCCGATTATTGAGCGTCGTATGAAGGCCGGAGGTGAAAGGCAGGGGGATTTCTTGGATGTGCTACTCCAGCTTCACTCGGTGGATCAGCTCAGCATTCAGACAATCAAGTCCTTTCTTTTGGTATGCTTGACTTCTGAACTGAAGAATAAACTGATCTTTGAAGATCCGAGGAAGTGGACACAAATGAGAAATCCGAGCTAACCAGAAAAATGTCGCGTGTTTTGCAGGATCTGTTCATAGCAGGGACAGAGACAAACGCTCTCACCGTGGAGTGGACGATGGCCGAGCTACTTCGGCACCCGGCCGTCATGTCAAAGGTTCGCGCCGAGCTGCAGGGAGTGGTTGGTGCAAAGCAGTATCCCGACGAATCCGACATCAGCAGGCTGCCGTATCTCCAGGCCGTGCTGATGGAGAGCATGCGCCTACACCCGCCAAGCCCGCTCCTGATACCGCACCAGGCCATGGTCGAAGGCGCGGAGGTCGGGGGCTTCGTGGTGCCCAAGGGCGCCATGGTGATCGTCAACCTGTGGGCCGTCATGCGCGACCCGGCGACGTGGACGCTGCCCGAGGAGTTCATGCCGGAGAGGTTCGTCGGGGCGGACATGGACTTCCGGGGCAAAGACCGGTTCGAGTTCATGCCGTTCGGGGCGGGGAGAAGGGCCTGCCCTGGTATGCCCATGGCGACAAGGGTTGTGACCCTCATCCTCGCGTCCCTGCTGCACAGGTTTGAGTGGAGGCTGCCAGAGGGGATGCAGCCGTGCGACGTGGATGTTCGGGACCGGTATAGGATGTCTCTCAATATGGTCACGCCAATCAAGGCCGTGCCACTGCCATTATTCTCGTGATGGATTGTTGTCGTTGGTTGTCTGCGTAGATGTAGTACGCGTGCACTGTTCGTTTGCGTATGTGGTATCAGCAGTTTGTGTTGGCATGAACAAGGGAGACGTTCAGATCACAAGTGTAGTAGTAATGAATAGGTAAGTGATGATAATGAATAAATGTACACGTGTTTTTTTTTTGAAATAACCACATGTATTCCATTAGTAGACAAACTTATTATAAATGTACAAGTGCTTTGGGTAAACTATCAAGCATTGAAGTTAAAGAACAGTTGTGGTGTCGTCGCTCTAAAGAAAGGAGCGATGTTGGAAGCTTCATCGTTAGAAGAACAATTGTGGGCTTTCCTATGGAATTGGAAGTTGAAGGTGGTACCAAAGGTACGCTTGTTGTGTTGGACGGTTTGTTTTTTCTACGAGAAACTTCTAATCTATTCATCTTTAAACATAGCAGTACAAAGAACAATATAGTTAATAAAAATTACAACCGTGTCCATGGACCACCTAGCGACGACTACACGCATTGGAGTGAGCCGAAGGCGCGCCGACGTCATCACCTCTCCCTCATCGGAGCCGGACAAACTTTGTTGTAGTAGATAATCAGGAAGTCGCCGTGCTAAGGCCTCATAGGACCAACGCACCAGAATAGCAACCATCGCCGATGAAGAAAGTCGTAGATCAGAAGGATCAAACCTGTAAACACTTAAACGAAGACTGACGAAGATCGGATCCAAATAGATCCACCGAAGACTAGCACCGAGCGAAATCCGCAAGATCCGACAGAGACAAACCTTCACACGCCCTCCAATAATGCTAGACACACCATCGGGATGGGGATAGAATGTGGGAGACATCATTCTTACTAAGAGACATCACCGCCACCACACAGCCCCAACCAAGACGCTGACTCTAAGAAGAAAGAGAACGGCAGTGGCGGAGCCAAGGGGGGGCGAGCAGGGGCCTGGCCCCCCCTAATGGTCGAACGATACTATGTAATTAGCGATACGAACGCTCGTATTCCTTAGACTTATACGTTTCTGGCCCCCCCTATGTCACAGCGTGAATTTGTAAAAAAGAGAAAAGGCCCATGTGAAGCCCACACTAGCGGCCAGGTTTCGCTCTAGTCCCATAGTTTCTCTGGGCTTTGCGTTCTCGCATGATTAGCCTGTACGTGGATTAGGCTTATAAGAAAAACCTGTACGTGGCTTCGTCGCCGCCGTTCCGTGCCCTCGCCCGCCCGGCCACCTCTTTTCCCTGCCCTACTGCTCCCAACTCTATTCATACGGCATAACTGCGACAACGCGATGCAGGCTTGATTCCAACCAACGGAAACTAGGTTTAGCACATCAGCACATCAGGCCATTCATCTACAAATCTCAATTCTCATCTTGTATCATTGTTGAATATATACATCAGATTTTACTAGTTTACATGTTTTGGTAGTCTGATTTGTAATGCTATTATTCTATGAAGAATTCCTATCATGTACATGTCCTAAAAATTAGTGTGACCGTGATGCAAATTATCCTGTATGAGTAGTTATTTGTGATGCAAACTTTCCCCATGTCAAATTTATCCAATATAGCTAATTGTTATACGGCAAAGCAGCTATGAAGAGAAAAGCGGTGTCAAACACAGTTAACATTAATTTATTTTTTAAGCCAGTTGCTTCAAGTTCTCTACTGAAATTGTTAATGAGGCTGATGTGCAAGTCACAAATCCGGTCCAATTGACACTCATGATCAGGATATGCCGGACATCGTGAAACTGGAGGCTTACTTGGGTTATGCATGATCATAAACGTTGATTTTTTTACAAAGCGTAAGTTCTCTTTCAATGAAATTATTAATTTTTTGTCATCTTATTGGCAATTGTAAAGGCAAATTTGAACTCATACAATTGTATCAATGTTTTGTAGCGCATAGCATATATTACAGTATGATGATTGTTATTTTTTGGTCTAGAAAAGTTTAGGAACTTGACTTGGCCCCCCCTATACCAAAATCCTGGCTCGGCCCCTGGAGAACGGGGTCCCTCCCGCCGACGGGGGGCCGAGATCCTCCGCACCTCCATGGCCTATAGGTCATCGAAGATGGGACAGACCGGCGGCGACGCCGACGGAAGGAGAAGAGCTTTTCTTCTGGAGGACGAAACAAATATGTGTGTTGGAGGGTTATATTGGAAGTCATGTCCTGGTATTCAACGATTATTTTCTTCGCACAAATTCACTATTCAACGCCTAAATTTTCCGACGATGCTTATGGATGGGAAGTCATTGGTCAACCGTATTCGAAAGGGAGTTATGGTTTGTGATGATTACTCCAAATGCAAGTACGATGTTATTGGTAAGGCTGGCTTCTTCTCTTATCAGAAATGCACTTTAGCTCCGGATGCTTGCATATGGAGTTCCCGACGATCTAGTTCATCAGTATGTACGAATTAGTGAGTTCATATGCCTTGAGTAATTGTACATTTTTTGCAAAGCTATAGTTAAGGGTTTTGGCGCGGAGTACTTTAGAGAACCAAATGAGAATACAACCCGGTTGTTATCGATCAATGCTTCGAGAGGCTTTCTGGGGATTCTTGAAAGCATATATTTTATGTATTGTAAGCGGAAGAATTGTTCATTTTCTTGGTAGGGAAAATATATGGGACATGTTGATGGTTGCTGAAAGATTATGGATGTCTCCTAGAGGAGGGGGGTGAATAGATACTTTAAAATAATTACGGTTTAGGCTTGAACAAATGCGGAATAAAACTAGCGTTTAATTTGTCAAGCACAAAACCTAAAACAACTAGGCTTACCTATGTGCACCGACAACTTATGCTAAGCAAGATAAACAACTACTTCCTCTGTCCAAAAATTTTGTCCTTTAAATGAATGTATCTAGCAACAAGTTAATGCTAGATACATTCAATTGAAAGACAAGCTCGAGACAAACTTTTTCAGACGGAGGGAGTAGGTGATAGTATTATATATATATATATATATATATATATATATATATATATATATATATATATATAGGAGGGTCGCGCTATTCGTCAACCTGGGTGAGAAATAGTTATTCTTCACCCCCCTCTATTTTACCATCAATGCACCATAATTTTTACGTTCCGTAATTTTTGTCTTATTTCCGACGCAAAAAGGACCGTAAGAAAATATATAATTGCCGTAAAAAATATTTTATGTTATGTAAAATTACAAACGTAAAAACATAGTCTAAAATACACATAAAATACAAATTTTCTTGTCTTATGACCTATATTTTTATTTTCTTATGTCAAATTTTACGTAGTGAATCAATAGGAATGTAACTACTTGAATTCAAAACGTAATTTAATTATAAAATGATCGTAAGATTACCTCGGGTGAAGAATAACTTATTCTGCACCCTGGGTGATAAATAGTAACACTACATATATATAAATATAAAATCTATTTAAAACCCAAAGTGAAGAATAAGCTATTCCTCACCCTGTCTCGCACTCGCACCTCCACCGCTCTCCTTTTTCTTACGGGATCCAACGCCCGCTGAGTAAATTTTTGCCCCTTCACAATGTCAGCCGATGTAATTTATTAGTTTGGTATACCCATGAACAGTTACTCCCTCAGTTCCAAAATATTAATGTTAATACAAAGTTGAGTTATCTATTTTGGAACAGAGAAGTATTATTTTAGTCGTGGGCTCATGGCGTTTCTAATTGCGGGCGGTAGCGGCCGGAGGTCTCAGCGGCGAGGGAACCGGATCCTCTAACATTAAGAAGGAATGTTAGAGAAGCTACAATACTCTAACTTTCCTTCTTTCTATTCATATAATTATGTCTAAAATGATTTAAATTAATTTGCAATTTGATGATCTACCGTATACATTTATAGTAATTATATGCAAACAAATTGATGGTGAAATAAAATTAAATTTAAATTATTTATATCTACAGTAAATACCAACACTAAACAACCTATTAATTATCTACTAAAGTCCCTAACTTTCCTTCTTCATTTTACACTAGCCTAACACTGTAGCACGGTGACATTCCTTAGAGGATCCGGTTTCGGCGGCGAGCGGCCGATCGGTATGGGTGGCTTCGGTGTCGACAGCAGGACGGAGAAGAGTGGACGTAGCGTAGCGGCGGCCTCTCGGCTGTGTGCGGTGGGGTGTGGCCCTCGTCTCCGTGCGGCTCGGCGGCTGGCCTGGTGCCCTCGTTGGCCGGCGGCATCTAGCGTCTGCGGCAGACCAAGACGGTATGCTCGGCCAGTCCAGCCATGAGCAGTGACTCCACATGGCCACAAGTCTACGGCTGGCCTCCTCACCGTCTTGCATCATCAACATACATGTCACACTGGTATGAAAAATTCAGTTTTGCTCAATCTGGTAACAGATCTCCACCAGATTCTCTCTTTTTCAATTTTTTATAGAGCAGATCTAGATCTACGGTTAACTAATCAATACTATAGTGTGGAAGGATACAAATTAACGGGTGGTGAATAAATATCTCAAGTAGGCATGTTCATAGCATTCACTTTATTTAGTTTCAGCTAACCAGGCAGCGAGCTAATGTCTTATTCTTGAGTTTGCCGCTTGGAAATTTTTTATTCATAGCTTCTACATTTATAACATGCTAATGACGAGTTAGCTCCAATAGTCGCCACATAGACTATTGGATAAACCAGAAATTGTATGAAACAAGTTTAAAAGTAAATAAATTCAAGTGCACTTCTTTTCAGAAAATCAGTGGTAGCTGGTAATAGCCGAATTTGAGAACATGGGTACAAGTCTGCAAGGTAGTGTTGCACTTCTTTTCAGAAAATCAGTGGTAGCTGGTAATAGCTGAATTTGAGAACATGGGTACAAGTCTGCAAGGTAGTGTTATAATTAACCTCCTTTTCCCCCTTTGGTCATGTCACTAGCCACTACTTAGAGAGCAAGGTATCTATCTATGTAAAAAAATTGGCTGCAAATCTGTATAAGAAAATTCAGCAGGTTTACTTAAATCTGTTAGCAATA